GGTTACACGCACTTACTAACTTGACTTTACCATGCCCAGGCAGAAGGACAGCAGAAAATTCTACATGACAATAAAGGTCAGGATTTTTGAATTAGCCCTGGTAGCCCACAGCTACCAAAAGCTAGTACAGTGTCTATGACTACCTCCTCCTCCATTTTCTGCCACGTTAATGGGCAGCCCTATCTCCAAGTCACTTTTAATCACCTTTTCACTTGCTGTTTTCTCTCTGCTGGGAGAGGGACACATGCTCTGCACAGCCCCTGTCACCGGGTGAATTCCACAACGCAACCCAAACTTAACCTCACCGCAGCGCTGCGCTGGCTTCGCTGCCAACAGCACCAAGGTCCCATGCAAAGAACCATCTTCCTGAGTGAAAGCAATGAAAAACGGCCCCTCCTAGTAACTTCTTTGTTCTTTGAAGAGCCTGCATGCAACATACTCTCTTCACCAAAAAAACAGAGTTTCAGCAATCTGCACAGAGAGCAAAGAAACTTTCTGGACTTCTTCCTAAATCCTGGAGAGGCGGAGTAGTGTAACAGCAACAACAACAAGAATTCCACTTGCTTTGAAAAGTAACTTCAAAGTGATGGTTCATATTTCAGTAAAAACACTCTTCAGCACACCTTGGCATAGTGCATTTTCTTGTAATTGTGAAATGGTGCCATCTGAAGTGGCTACAGCACTGAACCAGCCTTAGAGCACTTCCAGTTTTTATCAGGATGACAAGGATACAGCTGGAACCAGGATGAGCTGTGAGGGTTCACAGTTATCATTTGGAAATTGCAGACCAAAAAAAATTAAAATATATATATTTTCTGTTTGAAGCTTGGAAAAACAAAATGACCCAAGAAACTTCTGCATTCAGGGTCCTTAACAATTTCAATAACTACCACAGGCTGAAGAAGGCAAAAAATCACCTGAAATATTTACTCTACCTCTCCCTGGAGTGGCCAGGCAAACACTAAAAGGTTACGGTTATGTAACCTTTGTTACAACTGTATCCAGTGTTTCCATTTAAGTATTTTTTTTTTTTTAAAAGGTGGCCATTCAAACGGCCTGAAGGTTTTGCAATCTGACTGGCTGTCACAATATTAAATACGAACACATGTTTTCAACTATCTGGATTTGGATACTACAAATATTAGCAGCTGGAAAAGATGGCTGTCTGACTACTACTAGTCCTCTTGCCCAGTTCTTCCTGCTGTATCTCATCAAATGCAATCTGAGGATGGACACAATGGCTATTTGTCAGTGCCTTGGTCAGTAAGTTGATATAAAATCCAGTGTTGATATATTATTTCATAAAACTAGATCACAAAATATAGGTGGCTTAGTAAGGGCATTTTTTGTTTGTTTTTTTAAATCAAATACACATGAAGAGTAAAGCAAGATATCTAAACTCTAGGTGTTGTGCACATTAGCAAGGGTTTGCTCTTAAGACCATTCCATTAAAATCTCCTAGCGGACACAAAACATACTTTTTATTCCCCAGGACATCTCACGGCAGTCCCACAAAACAGAGAACAAAAAGCGAAATTATTCCCCAGGACATCTCACGGCAGTCACAAAACAGAAAACAAAAAGTGTCTTGGCGAAAGGGCTCTTTTCCCAGCAAAACTCCATCCACACTAGGGCTTTATCAGGACACTTTTGCCAGTCAGGGTGTGACCAAAACATATTTTGCTGTGAACAAAGCAAAATATGCTTTTAAGCACTAGGGATAAGCTTCTAAAACAAACTTTCAGAGAGGCCTATAGCCTTAATCCTTGCTTGACAGACACAGTATACATTTCTAGTGAAGAACATTACACCATGAACAGAACAGGATTCAAGGAAATCTGAGTGTCGGGTTATAAAAAGTTTTATAAGGAGTGATAAAGGCACAATATTATAAAATCAGAGCAGCAAACAAGCCTTTCAATGTGGAATAAAGACCGGACAGGGCTTTAAAGGCCAGTTCTGCTCCAGTGAGGTGTTCTCCAAAAGGAACTGAACCCAAAAGTAGAAATAAGAACACATGGCCAAGCTGGTGATACTGGATGATTACTAAAGAATAGCATACAAGTACTTACAGACAAAATCCAGAAATACTTAATACAAACTAACTTGCAAGAGACATAAAACGCAGTAAGAGAAGGAAAAAAAGCTACAAATGGAAGTACAAAACCACTATTAATAAGATAAGATGATGACACCAACAAGGCTGAATTATTCCATCTTTTCTTTGTGTATTACCTTTCCTCCCCACCCACAAGTGTTAATTGTAAGCGATAATAGGGGACAGGACCACAGGCCAGGTACGAAATAGACCTGTCATTAATCCTCATACTTAGTAAGCCATAATATATTAAACAGTTTAACAGAACATGAGAAATAATGCATGACTTAACCATACAGATAGCAGCTATACCAGTCATCAGTAAAAAAAAAAAAAAATCAATCACAGTGATAGGAAAAAAAAACAAAAAAACCCTCAAAAATGAGAAGCTGCCGAGAATCAAGAAATCAGCCAAAACCTTACTTAGGCAACAGTGAGACAAACTCTTCATGAACAGCTAATACAGAATGTGATAGCATGATACAAGCATGAGAAAACTGCATAACCAATAGGTGGTTCTATCTTATCCAGGTTAAGATATTTTTTAGGGCCTTCAGTTAGCTTATACAGTTTGAGAAAACTGGTGGTGAGTGAGAAAAGGGGCTTTTGGCACGAGGCAGCGTTGCACTCGCACCGCGCGCGGACTCCTGCTGAGCTGCTCCTCATCAGGCAGCCCAAGTTCTCCCTGCGCATCCCAGGGAGCCCCTGGGGACCTGCTCCCTTCCCAGCAGCCGGCCCCAACACCGGCACCTCCTGCCCCTGGAGCTGCCCCAGCGGCTCCCACCTGTTCCAGGTGCTGGCCCTGAAGGGTAGAGACTGCCCAGAAGTTCTGTGCTGTGTCTGCCCTGATGCTCCCGAGGGAGAAAAAAAAATCACATCTGCACAGTTACAAAGTAATTCTAGTTCAGCAGCAGCATGGCAGAAAAGGCTCTGCAGGGACCACAGACTGAATGAGGGTTGGTATGTCAGGTAAAAACATAAAATGCCTTTCTGGAACATATCAACAGGGCAGTATTTATAGCTCCAGCTGGAGAGGTATATCAAGTATGGGCCATAACAATTTAAGACTCACCAAATCAGAAAGACATCAGAAAAGAATAAGACATCAGAAAAGAATAAGCAGACAAAATATTTGAAAAAAATATGACACCAGACTATTCACGTCTGTTATGTCCACTGGTTCAACAGTAATAGACAAAAGTCTCACGTTTGCTTGCAACCCAGATACACAAATGATGAAAACTAAAGCATACAGAAAGACCTTGCCTGAAACAAAAAGCAGCAGCTTACAAAACATACGATTTTCTTCTTGTATCTCTAAAACAGGCTTTCTGAGCTAACTCTGGAACAGATCTCCTCACACTTGTAATTCCTCCCTTACTGGAAACGCCTGCCAGTGCAGAATCTTACATTTGAAACCTGGCAGACCACCTACATTTCCTTGAACACGCTGCAAGCTTTTTTGTCAGCCCCGTTTCTGTAGCCAAGTGGAGGCTTTGCACTGAGGAGGGGTGCCCACATCTTTCTCTAGCTTTGCCACCACTGCAGCAACCTCCAGCTGGTCACAAGTAAGCAGGAAAGGAGCAAAGCAAGGGCTGGCACTGGGCATGTTATAGCTATCTGGGGCCTGCACCTCACCTCCAGGCAGGCATCATCACTCCTTCCACTGGAGTGGACAAATGCAAACCAAGCAATGCTCCACCGAGATGAAACTTATCTGCACAGCACGTGACTTCCAGGGCCCCATGGGTTCAAGGCAGGTGTTTGCACCATTAGCTGCTACGAGCACAAGGAAGAGACACGAGCACACAAGTATGGCAACACTCACAGGAACACAGCATGGAATAACACAGCCAGCTTTGAAGTTTGGAAGGGGAGAGAGAGCAAACACAAGAACCACCTAACTAAACATAAACATCTGCATCTCATTGTCTAATCCTGAGTTCACTGACCCGGGCTGCTCCCTTTATTGACAATGGAAATGCAGTCAGCTGAGCCTAGGGAGAAATTCATCCCACCCTCAGGCAGATGTGCACCACGGGCTCATATGAGCTGCACTCCAGAAGGACCTACTGCCTGCTGGACTAGGAAGGGAGCCTGGGATAACAGCATCAAGTTCAGATGCATAAGGTTAAAATGAAATCCCACCCTACGTGTGTGGTGAAAGGGGAAAAACAAACAAAAAATAACATACAGAGAAACGAAAATGGAATTAAAAAGCTAACAATATTAAGAAAGAAAATACAGCTATTAAAAAAAAATGATTAATAAAATAACCTGGAACTATGAGCTAGCTGGCAGAATTATTTTCCACAGACAATTCTCATTTCATAAAAGTGATATGAATTTGCAAAGGCTTAGTTACTTCTGGAAAGGTCTCCAAAAATTACTCCAAGTGCCAATCCTGGAGAAAAATGCAATAATCAAAGCAAAAAGTTGAGAAGTTAACTGAATTTAGGCTCTCACTGTCTATTCTTCTTATTTTTTTTTTAATAGATGGACAAAATCTTGGCAGGATGTTTATTTTTCATATGGAAAAGGGAAGTAACAGAAAAGAAGGTTGCACTACATTATTCTGAGACAGTCAGAAAAAGTTGTGAGAGAAAATAAATGAAAATTAATCACTTCTCCAAACAGCAGCAAACATTGGTTTAAGCAAATAGTCCTATATTTCATTATGCTTCCTGAAATATTGTTAGTGATGTTTCAGCTGCCCTAGTAAAAGTTTCAGAAAATATTTAGCTGCAACTGACTGAGTTGATGAAATTATGAAAAGATATTAATGAATGACTAACAAAATTGATGTCCAGCTCCAGTATGATAAACGTGACTTGGTGGTGGTAGTGTTAAGATCTGATAAACACATACAACTTCATAAAAAGGGACACTCTTCCAAACTTACCACTGATGACTTTCTGCATTCCTAGCATCCAGCTGGATGGCCTTTTCGGCTTTAGTCTTTCCTATAAAAGGTGTATAAAAGCACATATGTTTATATGCACATAATTTTAATATTTTCTCTTATATAATTCAATTCAGATTCAACCAAATCAGGGAAGGGCTGGACTGGACTGATGAAAGAGACTATGGCATCTCCAAGAGGGAAGACCCTTAAACCTGGTTTGAGAAGCATCTGCCAGAACAACCAGCAGAGCTGCTGTCCACCTTGGGTATGGAAATGCACTAGGTGAGGTTCCTGTCCAGCACAGTGATCCTCATTAAGTTCCACCTTTAAGGGAGTAAAGGGGAGAGCGGGTCATTTGATCAAATCCCCGCTCCCAGTAAGATGTTCAAGCGAGACCCCTGCTGTTTGCACAGTCTCAGCTGCATCCAATTAAACCACACTGACATTTCTGAATTACAAGTTAACTTCCTAAAAACAAAGGGCAGCAAACACAATCCTCCAGCTGAGCGGAATGAAAAAAACACAAGCTACTGCCAGCTCTCCCACAGGCTCAATCTCTCTGCAGCACTTCCAAAAAGCAGATGGAAAAGGCTGCCACCCCCACCACTTCAGCAGAATGAGCCAAACTTAGCTGATTACCCCACACCTAAGACCCAGTTTCGTTCCACCACTCCTTCCCTCTCACTGTCTTTTGCTATGCCATTATCTCCCACCAGCTAAAGCTACATTTAACCACTGGTAAAAGCAAAAGCTCCAACCACAGAGCTCAGCATTGCATTTTTCCCCTTCTTGTTGTAATTCTCCCTTGACGGTGTGTTTCCCATATAAAAAAATCCACACTGATACCAAAGCAAAGACAGTGTTAAATAGCTAGGGCATTGTGAGTCTTCAGGAGCATTTAGATGACAACAGGATAGGAATGAGGCCCTTGGACAAGCCGAGGTTGGCTATGGCACGTTTAATGACACAATGCCTTTGAGGGTAATGAAGGGTAGTGAGAACTGCTCTTTCAGGGATGTCACTGACAGAATATGAAGGCACAAACCAGGGAGATGAGCTACGTGAGACAGAATAACCTAAACTTGTAATACAACTATAAACCCTTTAATTTGGTGCAGTTAAAAAAAAAAAAAAAAAGAATGGAGAAAAAGAGGAGAGAAGCATATTCTCAGGCAGAGCAGAAAAGATTATTTTATTTTTGAACAGACAGCAGAAGGGTGACGTAAGTAGAAAAGAAGTAGGGTTTATTGCAACCAAAAGAAGGCCCAAACCAAAAGGGAAATGGGAACCATTCCTCTCCCCAGGATGCCTTTAAACAGTGAAAGAAAGGACAATTCCCTTAAGAGCTACACAGAAAGAGAGCTGTGAAGAAATCAGCATCTGCTTAAGTCATCAGCCCAGACACCTGGGGAGAGATGCCTGGAAGCAGCATCCTCAGCTGTCACATGTGGCCCCTGCTTCTGGCAGACAGCACTGCCCAGAGTACGAGCCTACCACTACCACAAGAGGCTGCTGATCTGCAGGAACGCTCCCTTGCCATAGAAGGGATTAAAACAAATCTTGGATTTCCTTTTGCATCAATTCCTCTCTCTCAAAGATGTAATTAAGCTGTGCTGAAAACATTTTTTTAAAAAAACATTGTTTCTTTGTTTCTATTTGATTTGCATTAAAGTAAAGGCTTTTAGGATACCATCCAGAGCCAACTGCTTTCAACTGTGACTGACAACACTTCTCCTACACCACTTCTGGATTTCTTCACTGTGAAAAGAACAGACAGAAGCTACATAATGTGGCAGTTTGTTGTGCAAAACATTTTTATTATCGTATACAAGCTCCCACTGACTGGGCTGGAAATTGCTTGGATTGGAAAACTTGAGCATGAATGCTTCAGGCATGTTTCCCCACCCTCAGATGGCAGTTTATATAAACAATTTTCCTTGACTTACCATCAGTAACATACTTTTTCTTTTCCTCAGCATCTGCAGTCAGCTCAAATAGATCTCCATAAGCACGAGCAAATCTCCAAAGAAAGCTTGCACAGTTTTCATACTGAAAGTAGAAGACAACTAGGTAATTTATATTCATCGAAATTTGGCTTTCAGAATACTTCGAGTAGGTTTGAGGAACACTGAATGAATCCTTGTTATTTTGAATCCTTCTGTAGGAGCTTTCCTATGCATGAGGACCATATGACCAATTTTTCCCCTCTACCAAAGATGATGATAACATTTTGTTATCTGGTATATATCTAAAAAAGTTTTATTTTATAAATGATTTGTAGAGGTCTCTTCATAATAAAAATCAAAAGGCAATCCAATAAAGCATAACAGGCTACCGAATGATGTATATTTTATTTAGGTATGAAATAAGATTTGTGAGAGTATACAGTGCTTATCACATCTACCCATCTGGATATTTCCATAAGGAAATAAAATCAGACATAATAATATTTGTCAAGTCAAGAAACTAGTACACTGAATTAAGTGCTATACATCAAACCACTTGAAAACTCCATTAGAAGTTACACATGTGCACACAAGTTACAAGTCATACACAGCATACCAGAGAATTATGAACAGTCGTAAAATTCATTTTTTGATTTCTGGCTACTACTTAATTCCACAGGACCTTCTCGTGCAGCCATTTTAAAAACAGTAAAAATATGTATCATTTATTGGGGAAAAAATCCCATGGTATCATCCTCCACTGCATGCAAGAACACATATACGAAACAGAGCCTTAACATTATTGAACCTGGATTGCCTACAAAATAAGAAAACTTCTTTGGATGCCCAAGAAGAATACTTGTAATATCTAAAAATATTTTTTCTCACTTCATTTTAAAAATAGGCATGGAATTTAATCTTCCATTCCTGCCTGAATTTTAATGCTTACATTAAGGAAGTCCTCAAATACAATGTTAAGTCTAAATTAAAAGCAGTAATACTAAGTTTACCCTTCAATACCTTGTCCTCTTTCTCAAGCAGCAGCCTGAAACCCTCCTTTTTATCATCCTCTGAACCCTTGTGCAAACTGTCCACCTGCTGTAGAAGGTCAAGTAACTCCTTTTCTTCTTCTAATCTCTCAACATCAGGCGATTTCATCCATCCCTTTTCTTCCTCAGACTCTCCTTCAGTGTCAGTATGAGCTGTAACGTAACTAAAACAACAGGAAACAATAACTGTATTTTCTGGAAATATTGTCAAAACACTGCGAAATTCAAATGCAAGAAAATCAGAGTGTGATTTCTGCCAGTTGTGAAACCCTAACGGAGTTTTTGCTCATGGAATCAAGCTTTTCATTATTATAGTACCTCTCTCTTCAAAAAGACAGGATGATCATAATTCCAAACACAACAGGCAAGTAATTACCCTATGTCCTCCATAACAGTGGAGGACAAAGTTAAATACGTATTAGAAACATGTGCATCCTTGAGGTTCAAATGCAGAACACGGTTTACATCACACTGTTAAACCATAAGGTCTGTTAACACGTGTTCTGTAACCCTGCAGAGGCCTCTTCAGCACTGTGCCTCAATATTTCCATTTTTTGGAACCGAAGAGCTTACCAACCAAAACAGGAGTGCTTCAAGAATCACGCAGTGTTTTCTTAAACACCTTAAAGATCATAGACACAATTTTAAATACAAGCAGTAACATCACTATTGTCAGTTTGTTTTTCTTTCGTATATTCTGAAGATTGGAATGGAATTGGATAATGGAAAACAGCTTGCATTAATTCATAATTCTTAGTGCACAAATACTCAGCACAAGGCAGTCAAGGATAGGCAAATATTTCCAAAAGCCATAAATTCCACACAGAGATAGATGAGTGACCTTATTGTCCAAAGTTTTAAGCATTCAATAGGGTCCTCAAATATCAAATAGGAACAACTTAATAACATTATTTTTAAAAGTAGCTATTTGGTTATGCACTAAGTACAGACCAAAAATCCTGATCTTTTGCATTTCCATTTTTGAAAACGTTCTTATGAAAACAGTAATGTAAAAGTATTATCTTCCAAGTTCAGGAAATTATAAATACATACACACACACACTGCTTTAGAAAAGGATCAAATTAAAAG